CGAAGGCTTTTGATTGTGTGAACCATTTTATTCTTTTACAAAAGTTGGAAAAAACGGGTTTTTGTGATATTGCAAACAAATGGTTCACATCTTATCTAACCAATCGCAAAACAGAGAGTGAGCATCAGAGATAATTCTGTGGATTGCAAATCAGAAGAAAAAATATCACAATAGGCGTTCCACAGGGCAGTGTCCTTGGTCCTGTGCTATTTTTATTGTACAGTGCATCCCATTTTGGGTGAGACAGCTAGGTTTCTGGCTTGTTATTTAAGATAGAGCCTTGCGGTTTTCACGTTCCTGTCCTACTTTTTTGTGAAACTCAAGATGGCCTAATCAGATTTTGCACAACTGTTTCCGTTTATGAGATACAGGGCGATTTTGGAAATTTATACTTTTCGGGCCCCTCCTTTATCTCCGAAGTTATTAGAAATAATGCTGAGCTGAAAACTACGTCTGATACAGAATTCCGCGTAGAATCCAGTGACGCACTCACTTTTTTTTTCGGGGTATGGTTTTGAATATACGACACAAACTTATATTTTTTTCAATGGAACACCCTGTATTTTATCACTTCATTGAATTCGTTATTTTTTCCCTTCAAAATGATGTATGATACTATATAGGTAGGATGTTCAGAAATGCTAAAAAAACACTAAAACATCACATAATGATGATTTCTTGTGGGTCACGGATTTCCCATATAAAAGAAGAATCAATTGGATAATTTTTATTTGAATTTTTTTATAGGAGATTAAGCAAATAAAGATGATACACTCATCACTAACACGAGAAACAAAACGGTGGTACCTACCTGATAGCAACAAATAAAAAATACAAATTCATAATACAAATTAGATACAGAAGAAATACCCAATAAAATATTTTTCATGAACAAATTTTCAACATTACATAATATCTTACTGATTGAACTGTTTGAATTGCTGTCCATTTTCCCTAATACATAATTGACAAACCTTTTCAATACACCTGAGTGCATTTAATACTATAAAAGGGCGCCTTTGTAAATCTTGGAAAGCTGCCTCTGTTGATGCACGAAGTTCTTCGGGACTGTTGTGTCTATTACTGTATATTTTATTTTTCAAATAGCCCCACAAGAAAAAGTCTGAAATAGACAAATCAGGTGACCTTGGAGACCACCTGATGGGTCCATGCGTTCCAATCCAACAACCCTGAAAATTATTTTCTAAACACCGCCCGATCAATCTTGAATTGTGGGCAGGGGCGCCGTCCTGTTGAAAATGTATGGAATTAAGGAAGGCGAGGGGAACATCTTCCAGTAGTTCCGGTAACACGTCTTCTAGATATGTCAAGTACCTATTTGAGGTAAGAGGTAAGGGATCCTTCAGAGATGCGGTATATGATTTTTGTCCCCAATATGAAACATGCCACATTGAAACCAAATCGACCCTGTTGTTGTCGTTCAAAAATTAAGTGCTGGTTTTCATCATACCAATGCCTTGTATTTTGCCTGTTAAATATACCAGCACTGCTTATATGTGATTCGTCTGACCAAATAACCTTTTTTGCAAAATCAATGTCTCTCTGAGCATGGTTCAAAAACCAATTGCCGAAATTCAAACGTCTTGCTGCATCACCAGGATATAAGTGTTGGACAATATTGACTTTGTAGGGTTTTAACTTATACTTTTTTGAAATTCTGTGTACCCGTGATCTGGAAATGCCAGTTTCATTTTCTAATTTTGCACAAGAAGTCTGATGATAGGCATGAACGCTAGCTAACACATTTATTTCATCTACTTCTCGATTCTCTCTATTATATACCTTGGGTCGAGGTATAGAATATGCACCATAATTCTGTAAATTATTCTTTAGTCTGAATATAGTTGCTCGACTAGGTTGATACCTCTCTGGATATCTGAAAGTTTTCAAATCATGATGTAGGGAAATGTCTTGTGAAATTCTCGACGTCATACCTGTTCAAATAAAAATCCAAAGCTTCGCCAACGTTTTCATTACATTGATTGAAACATTGTATAATGTCATATTTTTCATTGTTCTGAAAAACCAAATCTCTTCCAGCCATTATCAGTTCTCAATTAACAAATTCACAAACAATTATTTCTACAATATTCAATATTCCTTCAAACCCAAACACGATGATACACAATAATAATTCATAGCGATGACAGCTAGATCAAATTTGTTTTTTTTTCTCTTCAATGCTCACTGGATAAAACAATGCTCCCAAATGCATAGTAGCCAGAATAACAACAAGGATGTTCGTATCATCCATGACCTACTACTGTTGATAATCAAAAGTAATATCCCTTTTATTGAAAAATCATCATTATGTGATATTTTAGTGTTTTTTTAGCATTTCTGAACATCCTACCTATATAGTATCATACATCATTTTGAAGTGAAAAAAATAACGAATTCAATGAAGTGATAAAATACAGGGTGTTCCATTGAAAAAAATATAAGTTTGTGTCGTATATTCAAAACCATACTGTCACAAATAGGGTTATTTTTCATTCACTCATTCAAATTCATACAAGGTTCGAAGTCATTGAACGGTCGCGTCTTTGTTTATTAAATCCAAAATTTTCGAATCGTGAACGAACTCTTTTTTCCATAGTTGAACATAAACACAGGCGTGACATTGACTTCAACGAACCTGGACTATCGACCTGATTTCCTTACTGTCACGTTTCCGAAAATAAAGACAACTATTTAAAAGACGTAAGGAAGCGGGTTCGACAGTTCGACTACCGGTTCAACTGCCAGTTGGACTGCCAGTTCGAGCACTAGCTCTGTTTTCGTTATACGAGTTAGGGTAGTCAAAGTTCTACCGATTGTAAGTCTGTAAAGTTGCCACTGTGCCCGAATCTTCGGAGTTCGGGCAGAACAGAAGATGCCCTTCCTCTAAGGTCCCAGCAATATTATCTTTCAATGTACATATAGGGTAAGTTAAGGTTTTATTTAATTGTTATTCATTTCCAAGAATAAATGTGTGTATATGTGTTGTTTGAAAACCCTTCTGAGTGTTATTTATTATGATCACTTCCAAAGTTCATTCTCTAATGGATCTAGAACACAACTTAGGCAACCCCCGCCTACAGTTTGTGACAGGAAAAAAAAAGTGAGTGCGTCACTGGATTATACGCGAAATTCTGTATCAGACGTAGTTTTCAGCTCATCATTATTTCTGATAACTTCGGAGATTAAGGAGGGGCCCGAAAAGTATAAATTTCCAAAATCGCCCTGTATCTCATAAACGGAAACAGTTATGCAAAATCTGATTAGGCCATCTTGAGTTTCACAAAAAAGTAGGGCAGGAACGTGAAAACCGCAAGGCTCTATCTCAAATAACAAGCGAGAAACCTGGCTGTCTCACCCAAAATGGGATGCACTGTACATCAATGATTTACCAAGTATTATTGTTGATACATCTACTTTTTTAACAAATTACATGGATGACACAACTATCTTAGTTGCTGATAAAGATTATGATGATCTCAAACGAAAGACAGTTGATGTTACTTCAGACATAGCAGGGTGGTTCAAAAATAACAACTTGTTACTGAATACAAAAAAAAAAAAACTGTTTACTACTTAGACATAGCAGAAATAATATTTTGTATCCAAAGGTAATCAATATTCAGGAAGTGGACGTTTCTTTCTGTGGATCAAGGAAATTTTTAGGTGTCATTTGTGCTGGACAGATCATATATCGGTACTCTGTGGAAAACTAAGCAGTGTTTGTTTTTTGCTCAAAGAACTCAAGAAAGTTGTACATCACAACATTCTATTAACAGCTTATTAAGGTCATTTTTATTCCATAATGAATTACGGCATTTTATTTTGGGGAGGATCACAGAATCAAGATGTCTTCATGGTCCAAAAGAGGGCAGTTAGGATAATTTCAAACCTTAGGTACAATGACTTGTAGAGGTTTTTTCAAGAAATTAGGCTTTTTAACTATTCTTGCACGATTTATATTCCTGTGTATTTGCTATGTTCAACAGAATAAATCATTATTCAGACAATATATTTTCGATCATAAACATAACACACGACGAAAAGAAGTATTTTGCTATTCCCAGCATAAAACAACATTATATGAAAAAGGTTGTTTTTACACATGTCTACAATATTATAACTTACTGCCAGATCATCTCCAAAACTTGAACTTCATAGCTTTTAAACATATCGTTAAAAAAAATTAGTTGCTGCTGAGCCCTACAAAATAGATGGAATTTCACAATATAAATTTATGTAATCTCCTACTTATATTCACCAACTAATGGTGTATGCATGTTGAATCGAGAAAGAATGAATTTTCAGTGTTTTTAATCAAAAATAGTGGCAATGCAGGTTTTTTCGGATTTTCCTGCAGTTTCTATGCAAATGCGCCATTTTCAAAAACTGTAAGCCGCCCGAAGCGCATCATTCGGAGAAGACATAAAACATTGATAATTCAAATCTCAAAATATTCTTCGCTTAACTTATTATTATTTATTATTATGAATTATTTTAGGAAGTTTGACTTGTACCATACAAACATGTGATTTTTGTCGCTGGTATAAATAAATTCTATTCTATAATGTCATGATAGAAGTTATGTATATTTTTCCTTGAATTTTGCACTGTATACATGCCATTACATTCAACCCATAGGTTCAACCTGTTTTGAATGCAGTGGGAATTTAGCCTCGTTATAGAAGTGTCAGTATTCTAATCCGCGTTCGCTTGCCGGCTTGAGTTCAATTTCCTGCTGCGGAAATTTTCTGAAGGCCTAAGAAAGTGTCTCTCGAAGACTTCTGAGGGTTGCTCGTGAGGGGGCAACCGAATGCCGGATTGAACAATTTTAGAACAAAAATTTCAATAAATAATCCATTTATCTATCTATGATATTGTCGATCATGCCTGTGTTCTATGATTGTGGCATTTCAGTATTTGTCATTACATGTCAAAAACTCCTATTTCCCCTGAATTTCCCAAGAAATCCCAAATACCTGAAATTCGTTTTCTCGTATTTTCTCCCGAGATTCCTCTGAGCTGATGGGATAGAGAATGTCCGAAATCATTTCGCTGACAAATTGCGTCCTCTGGTCACTCTTGGGAATGGAATGTTCCAAGTTGCCGATTATGACATTGATGACGTCAGAAGTGAGTACGACATTTTCCAAAATATTGGTGACCAACGAATTCAGACATTTTCTATTCGTCGGATCACTGAAGTCATACGTTGACGTCATCAGAAATAATTGCTTCAATATGAACTGATGTTCCATGAATTCAATTGCTGTTATTTCATTGGGTGCGTTGACATAATACCTGTGAATGAAATAATATCGTCAGGGAGAAGATTAATGAAAAGTTAGGAATTACTAGAATAAGCGAAAATGTTCATAAACTATGCATGCGCAAACTAAAACGAAAATATGGAAAGTTCAATAATAAAGTTTGAAGGCCATTAATAGTTATTTAACAGACTAGTGTATCAATGAGGGCGATTAACGATCGTTAATGTAACAAAAATTTTCCGTCTATACTATATTTATCAATTCTCCTGCAATGAAGAAATAGTCCGGAAGCCCATACCGTGTTTTTTGTGTCTCTTTACTCTCAACTTTGGAGAGATATATCTCCCTTAATATACATTTTAGGCCATTAGTTAATGCATCAAACTATATTTATTTTTCAATGTACTATCACCTCCAAAAAGTCCGGTGCACATTTCTGACTCACTCTGTATACTCAGGTTTAACTCGATGCTCAGGTTTAAATCGATAGCAAAAATTAGAATATTATACACGTATTTTTCGTGGAGACAGTAGTTTTCATTATACGGAGTGTTAAAGTTCGCATAAATTTTTGGTTTTTATTCTTCATCTCTGTTGAAACAAAATCTAGCGATTTGAAATTTGTTAAGCACTTTCCTATTATCTGCAATATAAAGAGTCCTTATCGATAGAGGGGACTTGGCTACAATGGGTGTTATTTTTTCCATATTTGTTCTTGTTCTTATCCATCATTCATATCCACTGATATGGAAACCTACAAAAACAGTGAATTAAAGTTGATGAAAACTGATCCACATTTATTCACCTTGCTATCTGCGCTTCATTTGTTTTTATATCCTTCTTAGTTTCCTCGTTACTTACTTCGAAATAATGTTAAACTATGCATACTAGTTTTTTAATCTGAACGTTTATCTCACATCGAATTATCATTCGAATTGAAGTTTCACGGACATGGAAGATATTAAAACAAATGAAAAATACAAAGTATAGTGAAGAAATAAAAATGATTTTTTATTAGGTTCAATCGACTACTAGTGTCCTAATAAAACAATCTAATGAGTTTCATGTCACAGGGCTCGAAAAAGAATAACACCCAGTGTATTCTATTGATAAGGACTGTTCATATTGCCGAAAGAGAAGTGATCAGTGAATTTCAGATCTTCAGGTGTTGTTTCAACAAAGATGAAAAATAAAAATAAAAAATGTATGTGAACTTTAATTTAATGAAAACAAGTTTCTCCATGACAAAACAGAAAAATACCTATTTAATATTTTGATTTTTGCTATCGATTGTCAAAGTTAGACGAATTAAACTTACCTGCATACACTTACAAAAATCCTATGTCATTTGAAGAACGTTTTATGCAGTGGAAGTCCAAATTATTCAAAGAATTCATCAATATGGTAATGCACATGATTCTGATGGATATAAATTGTAGCACAAAAAGAGCTATGCCCTACCTAGATTAACATATTGTTTAGGGTTGGTTTTCAATGTTCACATTATTGTTCACTCTGAGAAAACTGTTACTACTCCTGGAATAACTTCTATTGCTCGTAGTGTAGCCTTCCATCGCCATTTGTGGAGTGTTGATTGTTGGATCATTTTGCTTGAAGAGTAGAGTCGATCGAGTATATGGCGAATATATCAGCTTCGTTCCATAGTGGAATAGTGGATAATGCTTGTGATTTTTTATATCCCATAGAAATGCACTGGTTTGATGAAAGCTGGGATGAAAGATTTTAGTCCACGATTCAGCCCGTTACACAGTTATTATTCTCCGCACATCACGATGAAACCGTATGATCCAACAATTATAATGGGCGAGTGGACTGTGTTTCACAATAATGTTAAGCTAATTCAACCTTATTTTTCAACTACTAAATAATACTCGAAGTCTCGACGACATTTAATATGATCAACAAATCAAATTAAGGTACATGTTCCGAACACATATATTATACATATAATCCGCCCAGTGGTGGTCCTCGGTTAGTTACCCTCCCTAATACATTTGTCCGGGGTTTGTTGGGTTCCCCAAAAATACAATGAAACCCATCAACATTACGATTTTAAGATGTACCTTACCTTTTTTCATCCCCATGACGTGATTGTAATTTTTGATAAGTATGAGGATAAAGTTTAAAATGGGACACCCGGTACCTATGTCCGAAACATGTACCCTACGGCCCGGTGGTCGAGAGCGTATGGGGACTTCCACCGAGGCATGGATTCGAATCCCAGTTAGGCCATGGATGTTTGTAAATGTATGCTTTCCTAACCCCGCACAAGTTTCGACTCATAGGACGTTGGATCCAGTGCTGGGTACAACGAGGAAGTGCAATTGACAAAAAAAAATTTGATCTGTTGATCATATTAAATGTCGTGGAGATGACTTCGAGTATTAGTTAGTAGTTACTACTTCACTCAACTTTGAGAAACTATGGACTTCTACCAAATATTACTATTTTTGATGTTAAGCTAAGCATATTACTACTTTAGAACTATTTTTTTTGACGTTTGTAGAAAAATATTGTTTGCTACTCGTGCGTAAGATACAAAAATAACTATCGTCAACAGAAAAAATAGATCTTTCACTAGAGTTGAAAATATACAAGATGTTTCATTAAAAAAAAAGCTGCTTTGGGCTCCTTATTTTCATTTTGCTATTCGCATCTGTTTGCTTGAGGAGTGCCAAAAGATAGTCCGGATATGCAAACTTACAACATATTTGGAGTAAATTTCCACCTCGTAAAGTTGAAGGTGTAGGTAGCGGTCAAATTATAAGGAGCATAATGTACAGAGTATCCATGATGCTGGAAAAACACATTTCTTGTCTGAGTCAGAGCCAACCTACACCTTTTCATTCCTAAGCCTACTCTCTACAAAAATTTCAATTACCTATATGTGAGCCAAGAATATCTCTCATTATCTGATATTGAAGCAGTTGGGGATCAAATTATATTGAAAAAATTCCAATACCATACAAAAAAGTCATCTCCCTATCCTACCTAGGTCACGCACGATGTTCTTTGAAAAATATACGAATTTCCTTCAGTACGTTCCAAGAAATAAAAAAAAGACATTGTTAAACACAAGTGAATGAATAATGGTTTGATTGATATATATACATTTCTGATTAGGATAATTGAAGCGAGAATGAAGTTGAAAATAATATACTCACTCTTTTATATATTTGCAGAAATAAATCATCTCTGGTACGACTTTCTCGAGTTCCGCGTCGAATTCTTCATTTTGGTTTAAAAATTGCACGTAGATTCGCCAGTAACTGACCACTTCCCAATTCAAATTCTCCACTGAAATCAACCGTTTCTCGTTCAAAGGCAAAACTTTAGTCAGTTCTGTCAATATCTTGTCTCTGTCAAATCAAAATCAAATGTCATTATCCAGTATCAATTAAAAATTATAGTGTGACCAATAAGGTTACACACCATGGGGGATCTCGAAAACGGGATACAGATACAAAGGATCCCGCACTAAACTATAGGGAAAATGGCTCTCGATGAAAATCGCTGAATTTTTGGTATGTTGCAGACTTTGGTATACTGAACAGATATTCCATTGAACAAACCTCAAAAAATAGACAGTTTTTCCGATATAGACCTCCAAATGTAATTTTTTTGAGAAAAAAAACTGAAAATGGTTGAATTTTTGGCATGTTGTAGATAGGAATGAACTGATGAAAAAATCCAATTGACCTAACCTCCAAAAATTGACAGTTTTCTCGATATTGACCTCCAAATAGAATTTTTTCAAGTAAAAAAATCTCTGAAAATGGCTGAATTTCTGGTATGTTGTAGATAGGAATGAACTGATGAAAGAATCCAATTGACCTAACCTCAAAAAATTGACAGTTTTTGGTGTTTCATTCTTCTAAAAACAAATCTTCTTCATATGATACATCCACAGGTGAAGAAAACCAAAGAGAGGATGTAATGAAATAAATATTATTTAAAAGATGGTTATATAGTCTTTACGAAATCAATGGGGTTGTAGGTATACACACTAGTCGAATTTATGCCATATATCTATTTTATTTTGATCATTCCATCTATATTATGAAAGTATTCGATACACTCATTCATTCATAATCACCTCTCAGCAACACTATATACCCGGCGATGACGTGACATTGACATACCGATACCGATAAACACTTTAAGATTTTTATTGCTCAACAACCAATGAGAATATTTCCAAATTCTTCATAGAATTGAGGATTTATTTCCACAGTAGAAGTGAAGTGTTGTGTACTGACGTATACACAATACATAAATCGTATCGTATAGTATAATTGCAATGGCGGCCCGGTGGTCGAGAGCGCGAAGGCGCTGAGTTCGTATGGGGACTCCCACCGATAGGCATGGGTTCGAATCCCAGAGTTAGGCCATGGATGTTTGTAAATGTATGCTTCCCTAACCCCGCACAAGTTTCGACTTATGGGGCGTTGGATCCAGTGCTGGGTCCAACGAGGAAATGCAATTGAAAAAAAAATGGATTGATCGCGGTATATCACGCGTTGTACCGTAATTTTCATGTTATGAAATATTGTGAATTTCAATGAATATTTACAATATGTAAAGAGATCTGAAGAGGAAACGGTTTGCGACAGTGAACAAAACCTTTCAGTTTTTTGAGGTTAGTTCAATTGGATTTTTTCATCAGTTCATTCCTATCTACAACATACCAGAAATTCAGCCAGTTTAAGAGATTTTTTTTTTGAAAAATTGCATTTGGAGGTCAATATCGAGAAAACTGTCAATTTTTGGAGGTTAGGTCAATTGGATATTTTCATCAGTTCATTCCTATCTACAACCTGCCAAAAATGCAACCATTTTAGATACTTTTTTTCTCGAAAAACTGACATTTGGAGGTCAATATCGAAAAAACTGTCCATTTTTTGAGGTTAGTTCAATGGAAGATCTGATCAGTATATCAAAGTCTGGAAACCAAAATTCAGCTATTTTCATCGAGAGCCATTTTCCCTATTGTTTAGTGCGGGGTCCTTTGGTAATCATCACTATCGCTATTACTCTGAGCTTCAACAGGATTTGGCAAAATTTCAATATATCGACGGTTTCTGACAAATTGTGACCCATCTTGGTCTTCAACCACATAAGAGCGTTGTCTCGGTTTATCAACAATTTTTCCAAATGACCACCTTGAACCAGGCTGCTTTTGATATCGTACTTTACGGTCTGTTTGTATTGGTTCCAGATTTTTACAGTTTCGATCATAATATTCTTTTTGCCGATTCCTGTGAACGTCCAGAGTTTTATCATATTTCTCAAAATCGATTTGAAGTGGTTTCAATTCTTGTTCAGTATTTGGTAGAATGTCTCTCAAATTCCGAGACATCAGCAATTGAGATGGTGAAAAGCCAGTTTCCATTGGTGTTGTTCTATACATCAGTAAAACTAGATCCATGTCTTTATTATCTTCAATTGCTTTACGGAGTAATTTTTTAATTGTTTGTTTGGTTCTTTCCACCATCCCATTTGATTGAGGGTATCGAGGGCTGGACATAATGTGTGAAAAATTCCATTTATTTGCAAAATCCGCGAAATGCCCTGAGCTGAATTGAGGACCTCCGTCGGATACTAATATTGCAGGTATACCGAATCTTCCGAAAAATTTTTTCAGGCATTGTATTATAGTTATCGAATGTGCATTTTGATTTAGTGATATGAGCTCCACCCACTTAGTATAGTAATCAACCACCAGAAGGTACATTGATGTACCCAAGTACAAAATGTCACATCCAATTTTGTAAAACGGAAGTTTTGGTATTTCATGCAATCTTAGCTCTTCCTTTACATTAGACACACGATGACTGAGGCAAATGTTGCAATTCAATACTACATTCTCGATCTGTTTGCACATAGATGGCCAGAAAAATGATTGTTTTGCTCGATTTTTACACTTAACAATACCAAAATGGCCAAAATGAATTTTTTCTATTATTTCTGATCTCATTTTTTTCGGAATTATCATCTGATGTCCTTTGAACAAAATACCATTATTCTCAACTATTTCACTTCTAAACTTGAAATATATTTTCAATTGTTCTGGTACTTTTGCAATCGATTTTGGCCATCCGTTTTTAACGAAATTATTCAACAGACTTAGCTCTTCATCTTCAGATGTTAATCGCACTAGTTCACAAAATTTTTTGTCAGTCATTTTACAATTATTTTCAATGATACAAACATCTAATTCGTTTTTAAATTTATAATCACTCGCATTCTCGCATACAGCACGAGACAGTGCATCAGACAAAAACAAGTCCTTACCAGGTTTGAAAATCAGCCTAAAATCGTATTTTTGCAATTGTAATACCATTCTTTGTAAACGGGCCGGACAGGAGACCAATGGCTTTTTGAAAACGCCAAGTAGGGGGCGGTGGTCCGTTTCCACGACAAATTGCCTTCCATACACATATTCATAGAATTTTTCACAACCAAACAAGATTGCCGCTAACTCTTTTTCAATTTGAGCCCATCTTTGCTGAGTTTCTGTCAATGCTTGAGATGCATAGGCGCATGGCAAATTATTTTGAAGAAGACAAGCGCCTAATCCATTTTTCGAGGCGTCTACTGAAATAACTACGGGTTTCTTAACGTCGTAATACTGTAAAACGGGTCTTTCTACCAACTTTTTCTTCAATTCTATGAACGATTCTGTATGTTTGTCTGTCCAGTGAAACGTTACATCATTTTTTACTAATTCTCTCAACGGGGAGTTCAAATTTGACAGGTTAGGAATGAATCGTCCGACATACGTTATCATTCCCAAAAAGCGCTGTACATCCTTTTTATTTTTAGGTTGTGGCATATTTTCGATTGCATTTATTTTTTCGGGGCATGGAAAATAGCCGTTTTTTGTGATTGTGTGTCCCATGTAAGTTATCTCTGACATTGCAAATTTACATTTTTCCTTGTTGAATGTAACATTGTTTTCCCTAGCTCTTTTGAAAACTTCAATTAACCGCCTATCATGTTCTTCTTTGGATTTACCATAAACAATCAAGTCATCTATATATAACTCGACTCCTTCTATATCGAACACATTTTTAAAACGCTTTTGGAACACTTCAGGTGCAGATTTTATTCCATAAGGCATACGTAAAAAACAATATCTTCCATAGGGAGTAGCAAACGTACATAACTTTGCACTTTCGTCATCCAGACGAACCTGCCAAAACCCACTATTTGCATCCAATTTACTAAATAAATGTGCACCTGCTAATTTTGACGTTATTTGATCGATAGTTGGTAACTGAAAGTATTCTCTTTTTATAGCTAAGTTCAAGTCTCGGGGATCCAAACATATGCGCAAAGTACCGTTATTCTTTTTTATGATCACTACTGAATTGACCCAATCTGTTGGTTCTTCAACTTTTTTAATTATATTTGTTTTTTCTAATTCTTTCAGAGTGAATTTGAATTGTTTCAAAAGAGGAATTGGAATTTTCCGTGGAGGATGAACAACTGGAACAGCGTTTGCTTTCAACTCAATGTGATAATCAGTTTGTAAACATCCCAATCCAGTAAAAAGGTCATCATTTTGTTTGATTAAATTAGTATAATTTTGAATTCTTTCATTTCTGTGTTCTGCATCTGAGACTACATCTACGCGTTTTATTAGGTTGAATTTTTGACAAGCTTCTATGCCCAAAATACTCTCAAAACATGAATCTACTACGTAAAATTCCAAAATACTTTCATAATTTTTATGTTTACATTGTATATAGCATTTTCCCAAAAGTGGCAAGGAGTTGTTTGTGTATGATTTCAACCGAACATCAGATTTGACAATAAATTCTTTAGGAAAATTAATTACATTCAGTTTTTCTATGGAAATTATGTTTGCTTGGGCTCCTGTGTCCAATTTGAACTCAATAAAAGATGTATTGTTGAGATATAGTGAAACATACCATGATTTATTCCTCAGCATATCAGTATCATCTATATTGTAAATAAAAACACAGCTATCATCGCCATCTTCTTCTTGTTCTCTGCTTTCCTCTTCTTCTTGTATCCCAATTTGATGTACACTTCTCTTTTTGCACACTTTTGCGAAATGGTTATTGAACCCACACGATGTGCACTGCTTTCCGTACGCTGGACACTGGTTTAATCCATGAACACTTCCACATCTGTAGCACACTCCATTTTCTTCTGGTAAATTTGCTCTAGAGGTCCTAAATGAAGCTGATCCGGATGGCATGTTAAAATTTGATATTGGACGAGAATTTGTCTGACGGATTATTTGATTTCTATACTGAGGTGTCTGATTTGTCTGCACTCGTCTCTGATACCCGGATGTCTCACTTCTAGGAGTTCTCCCTGATGAGGATCTTTGGTTTTGGTAATATCCGATAGCCTGGACATCTGCGCTGGAACTACTAGCCCCTGACATCTGACTCGACTGTTCCTTAGACTTCTCTACAGCTATGCACATTTTTATAGCCTCTTGTAGTGTTTTCTCATCATCCTGGAGGAGTTTCTCACGAAGATCCACGCTCTGTAGTCCACAAATCATAATGTCTTTTACTAGACTCTCCTTCAAATCACCGAATTCACAAGAATTTGCTTTATTTTTCAGATCAGTAACGAATTGATCAATGCTCTCATTTTCCCGTTGCTTCCTTGTGAAAAACACGAACCGTTCATATGACAGATTTCTTTTCGGGAGAAAGTAATCATCAAACTTTTTCAGAATGATGACAAGTGAATTTCTTTCTTCCCCCGCAACGAAAGTGAATGTGTTGTATATCGACATTCCTTCCTCACCAATGTAGTGAAGGAGTTGAGCAATCTGAACTTCTTGGCTTTTCTTATTAATTTCCGATGCCACTAGATAATTTTCGAATTTCTGCCGCCACAACTTCCAATGTTCGGCTAAGTTGCCAGTGAAATTCATAGGAGATATCCCTCTATGGTCTCCCATCCTTGAATTTTATCGTTATTTAAGATTTGAGGACTGATTCGTTGATGTAATTTCAAGATAATTTATTTTCATCAGACTGCGCCATGTTGAGTTGTTAATAAAACAAGTGAATGGTGAAGACTGAGTTTATTATCATATCGAAGTAAATTCAAAAAACATCATAGTCGAGTACCCGCTTTTTATAAGTTCCTCGTTTACACGACGATTTCATATGATCATTCAAAACGTTTACATACTTGTTATAAACGATTACAATATAATATGTTACACATACCGACATCGAAAATTTTCAAAATTGTGCTTCTATTTGTCGACTCCCTCGATTTGTTGTTTTGTCTTCCACCAAGTGTTGTCTATCTTTTGCAATTTTTTCACCGTACTGATGAGAAGCACGAAATACGTGTCTGCGGCTAACTCTTTCTGAGGGCTATGCCTAATTATCTCTCCCTGGTTTTTTAGTTATATCGAAAAATGTGAATTTTTTGAAAATCCATTTTATTTTTTTTTTCTACTATTTTATTAGATACAGAAGAACTGAAAATACTTTTGATGGTATTTAAAGTGGTTATATCGATTTCTCTACGCGACGTTCCGTATTCGAAGAACCATCATCAACTTATTTTTAATACGGTCCTGATTATGTGTTCACAGATTCTGATAGCTTTTTGTTAATTCTGAATTACACCATGTGGTTTGAATATGTTTTGACCTACAGTTCTCGACACACTAAATGGACCACTCATAATTTGACTCTATTTCGGAGACCTGTATTTTTTGAAAAAATTGACCGATCTTCATGCGGTTTTCGATATCACATGTGATGTTTCATCGGCTTCGAAGAGAGCTGGAATTATCTGAAAAAGTCCGCAGATCAAAACTAACACAGGGTGTAAAGTGGAACCATTACACTATGGTCTACATCTCCAATGCTGCCAGAACTCGAAAACTTTTTTTATGATCAAAAGTCAGTCATATTATGATACACTGGGACCGCATCTCGGTTTTTCTCTAGAACTCCACTTGAGCTGACTATTGGGAAGAACTGTTCTCATGTTTCGTGGAGGACAATGAAAAACGAAAAAAGCACTATTGTGGAATATACAGGATGATGAGAAAATAGGACAAAATCTCATTTCAGAAAAAAAATTAAAAAATTGTGACTAAAACCATGGCGCATTCCATTCAGTATATTCAGAAAGGGCCTTTTCGATATCCATTATTTATATTAGACTATTACCTCGAGAAGTTTACGAAAATTAGCCTCCAATTGAAATACAGAATGAAAATTATCAATTCAAACTTGTTTCCTGATATCGATGATTCTTATCAACTGATTTCCAATATTTATTGCCCAAGAATGAGACACAGAGTATCGTTGTTCAAGTCATTTTTTTTTAATCGCTTGGAGCGCACGAAAGGGAATCCCTATAATGTTCAAAGATCATCGCGCGTTCCTAGGGAGGATAGGGACAGGAGGTAGGTATTGGAATTTTTTTTGAACTTTTGGAGATTATATGTTGTTGGGAATACTTCCAATACATCGATATCAGGATAACAGGTTTGAATTGATAATTTTCATCCTGTATTTCAATTAGAGGCGAATTTTCTGAAACATCTCGAGTCAATAGCCTAATATAAATAATGGATATCGAGGAGGCCATTTCTAAATAAACTGAATCGAATAGGCCATGATTTTATTCACCATTTTTTTTTTTTTTTTTACTGAAATGAGATTTTATCCTATTTTCTTATCATCCTGTATATTCCACAATAGTGCTTTTTTCATCTTTTATTGTCCCCCACAAAAAATGAGAACAGTTTTTCCCATTAGTCAGCTCAAGTGGAGTTCTAGAGAAAAAAATTCAAGAAATGCAAGACTTTCGAAAAAAAAATCGAATTTTTGTTCCAATGGCCAATTAAGGAAAAATCACGAAAACGTCCCGAGATGAGGTCCCAGTGTATCATTATATGACTGACTTTTGATCAGAAAAAAATTTCTGGAGTTCTGGCAGCATTGGAAATGTAGACCATAGTGTAACGGTTCCACTTTACCCCCTGTGTAAGTTTTGATCTGCGGACTTTTTCAGAGAATTCCAGCTCTCTTCGAAGCCGATGAAACATCACATGTGATATCGAACACCGCATGAAGATCGGTAAATTTTTTCAAAAAATACAGGTCTTCGAAATAGAGTCAAATTATGAGTGGTCCATTTAGTGTGTTGAGAACTGTAGTTTGAGCCACATACAATATTTTTTTCAATATTCCAAAGGGAAAATACCGTCAGTTTAACTCATTTCTGATCATTCAGTGTCAAATATTGATGGAGTAGTTATTTAATACAGAAAAAAACAAAAAATATTTCAAATACTATTCAATGTATATTAAATTTTATGTTGATGGATTGTTACATCAATTACTTTGATAACTAAACTTCTCACTAAACTTATTCTACAGTCCCTTGGCCGGCTGGATCACCTGATTGGACACCGGTGGATTTTTTTCTTTGGGGATACGTTGAAAATTTTTTGATACTTTTCAGTACTAAATAACTACATTATTCTAACTACCAAATAGCCACAATGCTCAAAGTGGAATGAAATGTTAAATAAATACAGAAGCTCAAAGTCATTTCCACACAATGTTCATAAAACAACAATGGTAGATTTCGTGAGGAAAATAACTACTTTCCTGGCTAATGCCACGCAGAACAATTCCAGCTTTGAATTGTGAAGGAGGAATTTACATAAAAAATTCTTAATCAACATAAAAAAGCAAAACTTACTTGAAAATTACTGCTAGGATACTTTCAAATAAAGACACCGTATTTTCAATATCTTTCTCATCAGCATCCAATCTTAGAGATTTCATGAAAGCCAGTATGTTATTGTTGTAATGTTCAAGCCATGATTTTATTAGTACGGTATTCATGAATTCTTTCACTTTATCAGACTCATCGAAGAATCCACAATGGAGAATTTGTCGTTTCTCGGAAATCTAAAAAAAAATCAATAAATAGTTATTTATTATGCAAGGTGAAAAAGTAGGAGATTTTAGCTCCAGGTTGTGTTGTCTCCCGACGCGTAGAGGAGGGAGACGAAAAACCTTGAGCTAAAATCTAATATATTTCTCGGGTATAATACACTATTTTTGTCTGTGACAGGAAAAAGGATATATCAATGTTGAAAAGATATTACATTATATTGAAATCAGAAAATTATCGACATGAAATTAACAGAAATGACATCTGCGTTGCAGAAGTAATCAAATATCTGTCAGTCTGATTTAGTGATTCGATTTTCAAAAATTGCGAATTTAGTGGTTGTTTAGTAATTTACGTAATCGCGAAGCCTAATGGAAGATAGAAGGCAGTTATTTCTCATATACGGTGTTATTGGCTTATTTTTGGGAACTATAGCACAACAAAAGTCATCAACAGTGTAAATACAGGGTGTCCCATAAGTAATGGATCAAAAGAAGTGGGGTGGTAGGGGGGGGGTCATTTGTAATCAAACTAACGGTATAATGTTGTCATCAAATTGTTATTGGTTCAAAAGTTATTCAATTTTTCTGAAAAATACGACTGATTTGAAAAAAATCAATAACAAAAAGACTGTTTTCAATAACCTCATATGTTATACCATTTCGGAATCTGTATTGAATGGGCCACTTTTTCTTATGATTGATTATCTATGTGGGGTAATTTTATAAACTGCCAGCGGCATTTGAAAATCGACTCGAATATTTCAGTCGATGACAAAACTCAAGGAAAACAACATTTTTCTCAGGTAATTGATAAGGAGTAATACATGTCATGAAATAATTTCTAGGAAAAGGTGCATCCATGTGGATTAACTTTGTAGAAGAAAGAATCACAAATGTCACATAATTTTATTGTAATCAAATCTTTTTATAGGAATGAAAAAACAATAAAAACTTTTGAACCATCAACAATTGGATATCCACATATACGGTTAGTTTGATTGAAAATGACCCCCCCCCCTACCACCCCACTTCCTTTAATCTATTACTTATGGGACACCCTGTATATGTGATATATATCAGGGAAAGAAGTACTCACTTTTTTCCAGTGGGGAAAAAAGTAATTTACGAAAAGTGACAGTTTATAATCTGCCAACAGAGATTAAATTTTAAACTTTTTTCCCGTCACAGAAAAACTCCATTTCAGCTGTTTTAGTTCACATTTGCTATGATGAAAAAATATAACACGATAAGTTAATCCCCTATCTCTCAGCGGTGATTTGAAATTGATAAAATTGATGTCAAAAACCGCAGGTTAATCGTTCGTCATTGCAAATGAGTTGAGTATTAAGCCAGCGCCAGCCCCAAGGCATATTTCAAAAATACCCAAAATCTCAACCAAATTGTTCGCCTGTAAACTCATTAGTTTTTATGCATGACAAATTGATATTCATCATACAGGGCGTGCAAAGAAAATTCTGAACTGAATTCTCATTGTATTTCTGTACATACAGTGTGTCTCACTTCGAATAGAAACACCCCTGTATCTTACGTAATGTTAGGATCCTGAAATTTGCTGGAGCGAGAGATATGCCAACAATGCACTCTATGACCAAGTGGCATCATCAGTGATGTAGACTGCTCGCCAACAGCCATGGAACCACCCCAATTTCCGGAAAATGATATTAGGAGTCCAATCCACTAACTATTAATATTTTTCCTGAAGATGTACCAGTTCTGAAAATTTCATTTTTGTCTCACTTCTCACGAAAACACCTCCGTATCTTACGTAATCGTTTGGATAGGATCCTGAAATTTGCTGGAGCGAGAGATATACCAGAAATATGGCTAAGTGGAGTCATCTTCAGTGATATACACTGCTCCCCAACAGCCGTGGAACTGCACACACGTCCGGAAAACAATATCAAGAGACAATATTTAGTTGATAATCACTTCGGATTCTAAAACAGGACGTCTAATTCACTAACTTCCTTTATTTTGATGCATTATTATTGGTAACGATTTTTTTCATACTATTAACGAATTCATTCATTCATCATTCATTTCAATGACACCCGTAATAATTTCTGATCCATTGGAACACTCCTGATAATCTATCCGATTGTACTAGTTGTGATTGTTATTTCATTATCCCTGATGAGAACTGAATTATAATTATCAATTTCTGAACAACTATCAAGTGAATTTTCCAATTAAATAAATTTTTCCTCCTGGAATGTCAATGGTTCTGTGGCTACTGGCGAGCAGTATGTCTTTGAAGATGATCCTACTTGGACATTGATCTCTTTCTTGGTCCTAAGAATTTTAGACTCTTACATTAATAATTACGAAGGATACTGAGGTGCTTCCATGGAAAGTGAGACCGAATTTACACTCACCATCAAAAAAACTGGCCCTGTAACTTTTTTAATTCTCGTTATATTTTAGTGAAGTTCCTACCAAATTGAAGATTCATGTGTCGAAATAATGACCTGGATGTTTGTTAAAAAAAAACTGATGACTTGGTCATAATACATAATACAAGTTACTATTTCAAGTGAAAACTATTGTGTTACGAAGGGATCACACTTCAATTCAAAACATAAAGAAGCTGAGTTTAACCACTCTCCTTTGCCACAAAGCGTTAAGAACATAAATTTACGATTTGGTCAAAATTTCACCAGAATCCGAGAAAAATTAAAAAGCTACAGGGCGATCAATTTGTCTGAATTTTTTGCTGGACGTTTTTTTGTAGGTGAATGAATTTAATTTCTCAAAATCCGTATCATAATGACGGTTATCCAAAAGGAGAAAAAACATGAACTCAATGGCGGTCGACCACAAAATTTAATATTATATTACTCAACGTATGTGACTTTAGTTTCACCACTACGGGCACCTTCAGACACAATGAAGAATGAAGAACCTAGAAAATCACAAGGTACTTGAATCTCAACAGTGGCGGTACAAAAATCTCAGGGTAAATTTTATGAAAGTTGATTAGGTCACAAAAACGAAGAGTTTTCGTAATTGCTGTACTCAAAGGTTCTACTATGAAGTTTTATTCAAAATTGGTATCTGGGAATTTTTGGGGTCGGAGATTATGATTCTTTCGTCAAAATTTGAAAATTCTGGCGGAATTTGAAAATTCAAGATGGCGGAACCAATATGGCGGACGAGTTTTGTAATTATAATCCGATTCTTTTCAAAATTGGTACCTAGGGGTTTTCGAGATCGGGGATTATGATTCCTACGTCAAAATTAAGAAATTCAAGATGGCGGACCCAATATGGCGGACGAGTATTGTTATTATAATCCGACTCTCTTCAAAATTATTACCTGGGTGGTAGTTGGAAAAACTGAAGAAACACGCTTTTATAGATAGCGAAGATAAAAAGAAGTAGAAATGAAACAATAATAGTGTCTTGATGAATATTGAACTGCAAAAATATATTATAGAAATAATGTATATAGCAAAACAAAGTTTGCGAGGTGTGCTAGTATTCAATGAAACAAAAGAGACTATAATATATAAAATATATAATTCTTGCACATAAAAGCGCATATACGCATCACCACAACACAAGGAATTCCGATAATGAGGGAGAAACACGAGAGTCATTGAATTAGTACCAAGTGCCTAAGTAGGGATGTTCACAGTAAGCGGTGTATATGATGCCTCTGTGGTTGGAGAGCGCGTAAAGATTGTATCGTCGCGGAGCGATAGTAGGCGACGTAGCTGCTCAAATCCAATACCTCGAGCGTAAAGTCTATAGTGACTTTCTCTGAAAAACATTCCGAAGATATAAAACGTTTCAAATGAATGACCAACACCGTTGGGAACTTGTAAAATGACAAAGCTATCATAGACTTCCTACGCTCCTTACACTGGAACAAGTCGGCATATCGTCTTCGTCCAATCTCCGCACGCGTAGAAAAGTCCATACATATATTCGAAGGTGACCAAGCAGTATCCACAGCAAGAACGTTTCAAGGTAGATTTCAACTGACCGACGAAATCATCTACTATTTTCGAGTAGTTCATTTGCCAATATCTATTTCTCGTCATCGTTAATATCTTTTGTAATCTCTGTCAAAAAAGGTAGCAAGTATCGTAGGACCCATGAAACGTGGCTGAAACCGTTGGTTAGGTTCTTCAATGAGACGGTGTTGACGTTCTCTTCTGAAGGATCATCGGACCAAAGTTATTTTATAATGACGGCAAATACTTTAATCAAAGCCCCCTTCATGCTGGAAAGGATGTTGTTTATGTCTTCCACATAGGTACGTGTCCTTCTTGACATATTCCAACAGACACTGGATTACGCTGTACATAAAACAAGTGTTTCCGATGTCCTTGAGCCCATTGATTCCGACGAGCATTACCGATTGCTACTGTCTCGGACTGGAAGGTGTTTTTTCCATTGAAACTGCTGATCTCATCCGAGGAATATCTGTTCTGGCAGTGGATTTGTCTGTCGCACGATATTAACATTTGACATGACAATGTTGACAATTTCAAACTCAGAATGCACATGTTTTAGAATGACAGTCATTCATTTGAAAGTTACCAAATTGTACGATCTTTGTAATTTTCTAGGTACTTTCTATTTCATCGTGTCTGGAGATGGAGGTAGTGCCGAAACTATAGTCACACACGTTGGTTGTTATTATATTAAATTTTGTGGCCGACCGACTTCGAGTTCATGTATTTTCTCCATTTGAAAAATACTGGACCACTTAGAGAATGGATGGTTTCCATGACATGATGATTATCCTCATGAAAGGAAACCTGAAAACCTGTGAGTTTCATGACACTTGACATTTGTTATTTTGCATACCCTCACAAAAGAGTTTTTGAACAGCTACTCTCAGTAGAATTTGACCATATATTTCTGATCAGGTGACCATACTCTCACTCTACGCATGGGAGTGAGTCTACGGAAACATGGGTAAGAGTTATATAAAAGGAGATTTACCATACATTAAAAGTTTTCAAACTTGCAGTTGGGTTGAAAACTTCAAAATTGGTATGTATTTATAGTCGATCATTTTCAATCTCAATTTATTCATCTTCACGAGTCGTTGCATAGATATCAGAGGATTTAATTCATTGTTCTGCGTGGCATATAGCCAGGAAAGTAGTTGTTTCTCTCTCGTTATCTACCATTTTTCGGTAATTTAATGAATTAGTTTGGTAATGACTTTGAGTTTCTCTCTCTGGGATCTTGTTTTGGAGTGTTTCTTTCCTTGCCAGTTGGCGTTCGGCTTTCGCGTTCATTTCGCAGACGTTGAACGCCTCATGGGTATCAAATGCTCAGATGCATTAACTTTGGGTCAGGTTCGCACCAGATAGCGGTCAAGAATGCTATCTGGGGGACAACTCTAAACTGATGAGAGCCAAAAGCTTGTCATTATTTATTTCAAATGGCCCTGATCGTTGTTTGACCTAATTAAGTTTTGTGAAAATTGCCCAGTTAGATAGATAGATAGATAGATATTTTATTTTCCTCAAAGACAATTTACAATAATTGTATTAGGAATAGTCAAAATAAATCTTAACCCTAAATCCTATCCTAACTTAAATCTAAGTATTTTAATACACATATATATATATAAAGACACATAAACATATTAAGAGACGTACTTCAATTTGAAAAGTCAGATACACTATAAAAACATTTTCTAACCAGATAATCTTTTAATTCTTTCTTGAACTGTTTGAGAGGTAGAGTTTTCATGTTGATTGGCAAAAAATTATAAAAGCAGCGAGGACCTGCATAGTTTGGCGATTTAAATAAAACTACCTGTTTTGCTGAAGGAACATAAATCAGATTTTTATTCTTCTGTCGAGTTGAATAGATACAGGAGTTTTTTTACTTCTGCCACCCTATTTATTAAACCACTGAACTTTTTTCAGAATTGGGATATTTTCCCGAATTCCCTGTTCAATTCAGAAAGAAAGGCACTCTTAGGGAATTTCGATTTGGGGCTTCGTTTATGATTTCATTGAATTTCTAGACAGGGCTGTCATGGCTTGAAATTTGACATTTCATAGGAGATGAGATATAGTGAAATAATAGCACAATGAAAGTCATACGGAAATAACATTGATGGTATACAAAGTACCTTGATTTATCAAACACAGTAAAACAGGAGCCATTTCGTATTATAGCTATAGAAAAAAAAATAATAGCACAAAGCTTGTCGACGATATAAATTCACCTGAAGAATGATGGAAGTAAGATATGATGTAATTACTGATGCGCTTTTGTTTCAGAAATTCTACTCGATTTCTCGAGAACAGCGAGAGCAATGGTTCCGTCGATCTTCTAATAGATGGCGACATTGCACAATTGCCGCAGATTTTTCGAATTCAGAGTTAAATAATCCCACTAATACATATGTTCCGCGTACCTAAAATGCCATTTGCCATTTTTTTTCACTAGTCACAGCAGCAATAGCAGCATTACCATCTAGCGGAAAAATGTAGAATCAACGTCTCGCTCGATGTGTCATAGAGAAATCATAGTAGGCGGTCGAGTGATTTTTCTTAAGTTTTTCAATACGTAAAAGTGGCCGACTACGCACACCATCTACCTATTTCCATCATTACGTGAAGTAACACATTCCTGGATTTCTTGACACCAAATCATTCATTTTCAAAACACTGTACACAAATCAGTCAATGAAAGTCGAATCAAATAAGTACTGTACAAATTCACTAACGAAAGACCTCAAACGCAAAGCAAACACTAAAAAACTAAAACTAATACGGCTCTGTCTCGAGTCTACGTCTGATAAAATGACAGAGGTGCATTCTTACACAGTTGCCAGATAAACTCATACGAAATTAGAAGCTCATAATAATTCATCGATCTCTTGTTAGCCATTCAATTAATATCGGTGAGTCTATGAATTTTGTCGCGAAAATTTTATACCGGGTGGTCAATTTAAGACTATCCACCCTCGATATCTTCCAAAATTATTTTCTAAAAAAATGACGAAACAGGTCGATTTTCATATGGAAGGGGACACCTTTTGACGCGGAATAAATAATCCATGCTTCGACCCTCTACTCCCCAGAGCAACCCTCTCAATAATTTGAATAGCGAATAAGGGTCGTGTTATACAATATACATCATTGCGAATGTAATTCAATTCTGAAACTAGGAGTGGAAAGTTTTTTGAATTCCAACAAGTCGTTCTCGAGATATTCGAGTTCGAATGGTATATTTTTTAATTGTGACTAAATGAATTTTTCTCAGCTACGCGTCGGGAGACAACACAACCTGGAGCTAAAATATACAACTTTCTTCCCTTGTATAATAAATAGCTAATTTTGACCTGAAAAATAAGCCCCTGATATCTTGATACCGAATTTCGAAATACCCTGTATAATTCAATTTTACTCACTTTTAAAGAACCTGCGAACGCCGAGAGTCGTTTGAAAGCTGCCAACCTAACGTTCGGATCTGTGTCTCTCGTTCTGTTGATAATATGCCCAATAACCTCTTTGCTAGCAGCTATTTTCTCTATGCATAACTGCCTTACCTACATGCAGAAATAGAGAGAATCAATGAGATTGTACAGGGCATTCCATTTTGGTTGAGTCTGACAGGTTCTTATAGATGATAGAGTCTTGAAGCTTTCACGTTTCTTGCCTATTTTTTTGTGAAACTCAAGATAGCCTAATCAGATTTTGTATAACTGTTTCCGTTTATGAAATACAGAGCGATTTTGATAATTCATACTCTTTGGACCCCTTCTATATCTACGTAGTTATAATTAATAATGTTGGCCTAGGAACTATGTCTAACAGAGAATGTTGTGCAGAATTTAGTGGCGTACTCAAACATTTTTGTAGGGGTTTGGCTCTGGACTACACTACTACACAAACATATATTTTCAATGGAACACCCTGTATTTCATTATTACATTGAATTAGCTATTTTTTATCTTCAAAATAATAAATAATACTTCGTACACAGGGTTTCCAGAAATGCTGAAAAATATTAAAACGTTACATTATGATGAATTTTCGCTAGTGAGCCATGGATTTTTCAAGTTCTACTTGAAGGATTATTATATGTGATATATAAACTACTCAACACTAATTTCGTCGCACACCAAAATGTCGCCCCTGATATAATGTGAATAACTTTTTTCAGTTCAGAACAATTTGAATTTGGTTCACACTGTTCGATAGCCCAGTCCTTCAGCTATAATCTCGTACTTCATTGAAACAAAAGGGTATTCACATAAAATCTCTACATGGTGTTTTCCGACACTGTGCGAAATTTCGGAATATTCAAAAGGCTCTCAAATGGTGATAAAATGTTTTTTCTCAACTTCGACAATAGAGGCATGAAGATGATCTCATTACCTCCAGATATTTCGCGAATCAACTTCCTATCTCTCTTATTTACAGAGTGATCTCAAAAAATCAACTTTTTGGTTTTGCAGCCATAACTTTTTTCCACGTCAACCGATTTTGGAAATCTTAGGCTCATTTTGAAGATAAAACTTCAGATGGAGAGATCTGAATATCAGAATTGACTCAAGATGGCTATCAAAGATCTAGAGTTTTCTTGAGAGTGACCCAAATCTGGAACGCCCTTCGAATCTAGGTTGGGAGGAGAATTGAATGAAAATCAACTTGTTCTCGGAAAAACAATTCATTCTAGATGCGTCCATATTTTCCTCGCTCTCAGTAGTCAAGAATTGTGCGTGAGAAAACACAATTGAAACATGTTCTTGCAAAAACATTAGATCATTTCTCCTCTGTAATGCATGGCCCCCCGTAACCAACGTTACAAGAATCACAATGAGTGATTGAAAAACCCGATCAGCTGAGGCTCATCATAAATGGTGTACCAACAAGAGCAACGGATTTTGATTTCTTCAATGAAGTGATTTTTTTAACAGTTGTCACATACATAACATGCGATTTAAGAATATGGAAAAGTATTCAAGCGAACAACGTTTATTTATTGTAAAAACGCATTTCAAAAATGGTGAAAGTTTCACGAAAACAGTCGCAGTAATGAGCCGAACGAATCGACAGTAATAACCAAACAATTCGTATCGGAGATTAGCCCTTTGAATGGATCGGACTGTCGTGTTTAGCAGATCCGCGATTTGGAGGGAAGATAACCCTTGTTCCCTCATTTGTGGAATCAGTTCCAACTGGTCGAGCGTCAGATGCGGCATCGAAACTATCAAAATCTGTTTATGATTCGAAAACGTCACTTACTGTGATTCTTGTATCGTTGGTTACGGGCCATGCATTACAGAGGAGAAATGGTCTGATGTTTTTGCAAGAACATGTTTCAATTGTGTTTTCTCACGCACATTCTTGAGTACTGAGAGCGAGGAAAATATGGACGCATCCAGAATGAATTGTTTTTCCGAGAACAAGTTGATTTTCATTCAATTCTCCTCCCAACCGAGATTCGGAGGGCGTTCCAGATTTGGCTCACTTTCAAGAAAACTCTAGATCTTTGATAGCCATCTTGAGTCAATTCTGATATTCAGATCTCTTCATCTGAAGTTTTATCTTCACAATGAGCCTAAGATTTCAAAAATCGGTTGACGTAGAAAAAAGTTATGGCTGCAAAACCAAAAAGTTGATTTTTTGAGATCACTCTGTAAATAAGAGAGATAGGAAGTTGATTCGCGAAACATCTCGAGGTAATGAGATCATCCTCATGCCTCTGTTGTCGAAGTTGACAAAAACAATTTTTTCACCATTTGAGAGCCTTTTGAATATTCCGAAATTTTGCACAGTGTCGGAAAACACCATGTAGAGATTTTATGTGGATACCCTTTTGTTTCAATGAAGTACGAGATTATAGCTGAAGGACTGGGCTATCGAACAGTGTGAACCAAATTCAAATTGTTGGCGACATTTTGGTGTGCGACGAAATTAGTGTTGAGTAGTTTATATTATATTAATTGGATACTTCTTGCGAAACCTAGGCTTCCCGGCAGAGCCCAATTTGTATGCGCATGTCCAAAAAAATTACATTTGACATAAATATTGCACTTGTTTTGACCAGTTGTACTTGAATATGTGGAAATATACAGGGTGTTCCATTTGAAAAAATGAAGTTGCTGGCATTTCCAAAAAACGGGAGTTCACCATATTGGATTGTTAGGTGATCAAATCCGAAATGGTTGCTAATATAACTGTACCAAATTTCAGCACCCGGTAGCGTGCAGCACTTCTCCAGTATAGCACAGAGCGCACCATACGATATGGTGCTCTAAAGCCGAGGGGGTTGCCACAACTGATTTTAACGTACGAATTATTGCCATTTCCCAGTATTTCCTAATATTGCCCAATTTCCTGGCATTTTCTCATATTTCCAATTATTGCCCCGCATTTCCCGGCATTGCCCCGCATTTCCCGTTATTTTCCTGCATTTCCCAGTATTGCCCCGAACTTCCAGAAATTTCCTCGTATTGCCTCGCATTTCCCGTATTTCCTAGAATTTTCTCGTATTGCCCCGCACTTCTCAGTATTGCCCCGTATTTCCCGGTAGTGCCTCGTATTTCCAGGAATTTCTCCGTATTGCCTCGTATTTCCCAAATTACCTTGTATTGCCCCGAATTTCCCAGTATCGCCTTGTATTTCCCTGCATTTTCCTGTATTGCCTTAATTTCCTGACATTTTTCATTGGTTACACAATCGTTTTTATATTGTCAGGCATTCTCTAATATTTCACTACAATAATATTGTTTTACGACAGTTGGTACTATGAAAAAAATATACAATCGAAAAAAATATGTATTCTTATAAATATTCAACAAAAAAAAAACATAATATGAATCACAGTAGGAAAATATCACCACAGTTTGAGTGGAGAACCTATGAATGACTTAAGATACTTACATCAACAAAAAAACTAGAAAAATATCTATTCCTAATGACTTTAATCACTGGAATGAATATCAACAAAGAAAACAAAACATGGGTCATTCAATAAAAAATATATCAACTTCCAAACTAAAATTAACTAAACCCCTTTCTTTTTCAAATCTTTATATATTTTTTTAATATTATTTCGATCATACCTTGTGATCTGTAGTGGGTCACAGCCAAGCATATTTATTGGTCCATAAAATATTTGTTCTTTGTGGACACAATCTACGTCGTTTGATTTAGGCCAGTAAAAATTATTCAGGTCTTCTTTCAGAAATTTGAGAGTACACATTTCATTTTCTTTGTATTCTAAAACTGCCAATATACCATCTTTGTTCATAAAACACACTATAGTACTTTTCAACATCAATTTGAGAAACAAATTCATACGCGCAATAGGGTGTCGAGTAGGGAGTTCTCAGAATTGCGTCAAGCCATCGTCTAGCGCTAGGGTCTCGTCTAGCGTCCACCCGGTTGTGAAAGCCTAATGCATGTCATGAGTAGTGTATAGAGTCGATATTTCATTTATGTCTTTTCTACATGTCGATGCGATTGTATATTAACTCTATAAAAAACTAATTACGTAGATTGTTTTTCAAATTTAATGCCGACTGTCTCAATTTTTCAACCGCTTTGCTAAATATTGCCCGGCATTTCCAGATATTTCCTTGCATTTCCCGTATTTCCTGGCATTGCCTCGTATTTCCCGACATTTCCCGCATTGCCCCACATTGCCAAATATTTCCCCGAATTTCCCAGTATTGCCCCGCATTTCCCGGTATTGCCTCGTATTTCCCAGTATTGCCTCGTATTTCCCGTATTTCCAGTATTTCCGGTATTTATTTTTATTGCCCCGCATTTCCCAGTATTGCCCCGTATTTCCCTGTATTGCCTCGTATTTCCCAGTATTGCCTCGTATTTCCAGTATTTCCGGTATTTATTTTTATTGCCCCGCATTTCCCAGTATTGCCCCGTATTTCCCTGTATTGCCTCGCATTTCCAGACATTTCCTCGTATTGCCTCATATTTCCCACATTTCCTAAAATTTCCTCGCATTGCCCCGTATTTCCTCTCAAGTGTACGAGAATTTCCCCAGTGGCAACCCCCTCGTCTAAAGCGCACTGGACTTTGTTTATGATCAATTTCACTGAAAGCAAGATACTCTGATAAACCAGCTACAGGAAGAAGGAAAAGACATACAACTGGCATGGGTACCAGGTCATTTCAAAACAAGAGGGAACGAAGCAGCAGACGCATTTGCCAATATTGCTAGGAGATTGCCACCAACAAAATATCCAAAACTGGACTACTCGGAAGTACAACCAATTCTCAAGGAGAACATTCGATATAACTGGAACGAGAAATACGCTGTTCTTGGCCAGGTTAAAGGAAAAACCTATGCCTGCTCTGTATAGAGACCACAAAAGAAGCCTTGGTTTACAAAGCTCAGAAGTCTTTCAAGGGGTCAGATAACTAATATAATAAGAAAGCGCAAGTAATCACTGTCTCATCCCCTCTCACATGCATGGACTCAGAATATAAGACACCCCCAATTGTGAATGTGGGTCCCCTGGTAATGTCTTCCATATCCTTTTTGCATGTCCAAATAACCAACACAATATTAGTG